CCTGCTACATCAAGGGAGGGCAGAAGTGCAACGTGGCGGCGGACGAAGCGGTAAGAGAAGAGAGAGAGAGAGAGAGAGGAGAGAGAGGAGAGAGAAGAGAGAGAGAGAGAGGAGAGGAGAGAAGAGAGAGAGAGAGAGAGAGAGAGAGAGAGAGAGAGAGAGAGAGAGAGATAGATAGATAGATAGAGATAGAAAGAGAGAGAGATTGAGACCGAACCAATGACGAAAAAAATGATATAATATATTGGTGATCCCTTTTCCGTTCTGCAAATTATTTGCTGTTTTCCTTTAAGACATTACTGAATTGAAATTTCTTGCATCTGAGTTTAAAAGGTTCCATAATGTTGATTATCAGTCTTCTGAGTATGAGCAATGCGAAGTGTGGCATGACCTCCCATTTGTACTATTCTATTTTATCAACCTCTTATTAACCTGAATATACTTTAATTATACCATGGATGTAAATGTTGGTCGATTTATGATGTACGTCGATTTTAACAGGTCATGTTGAAATAGCACTCTCTAATTATGGTAACGGCTTTGATTAATTGCTCTAAGCCACTTGTGTGCATTTTTTCTATTTTTACACAATACTTTAATTTATGATTGCCACCTTAAACTTTGGCGTTTATCAATCTCACAAACAAAATATGAGGTTTCCAATTCATTTAACTATCCAATACGATCGCTTGGGCTGTGCAGTGAATTATCACCAGTTTAATGATTGAATGATTAGCCAATAGATACAGAAGATATGTAATGACGATATTCATCCGTTTAATGGCAATAAGTTTCTCCTTCTTGATACACGGGAAAATTCTTCATTCATGATATTACAAACACTGCGTAACTTTCTCACAGCACATGGTGTATATATGGAAAACAGGGAATTACACCGTTGACCTAGATTAGAACGATAAGGGCTCTGATATGTAACCCTGGGGTACGCCACTCTTCACAATATCACTGATGAGTCACTATTGTTATTATGCCCTTGATAGGCATGGCTCCTGAACCACTCTAGAGAAAAAAGTGTTATAATTAGACAAGAGTTCAAACAATACAATGTACTTTTTGTCGAATGTGTGGCGCATTTTATCAGTTAAAAATGTATTGAATATCTTGAAAGGAATACAAACCAGAGCAATCTAGTATCTAGTCGTTTGTGATAGGTACTTGTAATTGAAAATACGCCTAATTTGTATGAATGCTAGAGTTGGAGAAATTTCATCAACAGTGCTTTAAAACTGTCCTAGACACATCGCTTGTCTGAAAACAAGAATTAGTTGAATTCTGAGTTTGATTTTTTTTAATATGGAATAATCCATCTAGTCTATCTTTCTCCTTGATTGACTTTTATAGTTAGCAATATATATGTGTGTGTGTATATATATATATATATATATATATATATATATATATATATATATATATATATATGTGTGTGTGTGTGTGTGTGTGTGTGTGTGTGTGTGTGTGTGTGTGTGTGTGTGTTTATGAACATACGCACATGTGGGCGTATATTTGCATATATAAATATATATATAATATATTAATAATATAATATATATATATATATATAATATACATATACACACACACACCATAACATAGAGAGAGAGAGATAGCGAAATGAGAGAAAATGCAGAGCCAGTCCCTAACGCCCCTGCCCCCCTCAGCGAGCTCCGGACGAGGAGGCGCCCAAGGAGCTGAGCGACGAGCCCTCCGCCTTCCGCCGCGCGATCAACAAGCTGACGAAGCGCGCCGAGTTCCTCTCCCGCTGCATCCTCGTGGGCTTCTACGTCTTCTTCCTCTTCGTGTACTTCGCTGCCTACTGCGGCACTGGCTAAGGTCAGAGCTCCTCCTGCTACAGACGGCCGCCCACGGGGTGCTGACCAATCGCCAAGGCACCGCGTACAAGATATACCTCGAACATTTCCTACGAGACTGAATTCCTGCATAAAAAAACACCCCACCGAGAAACAGTGTTTATGTCTGCCATTTACCGCTTGCTTTATATCTTTGTTTATATGTTTTTGAGCCGTCTGTCAGTGAGAAAACATCTTTGCAGATTAATGTTTCAATAAAATGCAGACTGTTTCATTTTTTATTGTTTTTTAAAGATTATGCGTGTCTGTTAATAGTCTGAACAAATATTTGCTTTTGGCTTGTTTGTTAAAAGATAAACAAGAGTGATTGTGCTGCGGCAAATCATCTTTTGATCAGTTCCAGAATTTGTACTCTGGTTTTATAAACTTTACAGTACTGCAGTTAGTTTTGCTATTACGATGAGTGAATGAGTATGGTGAGTTTTCTTCCAAGTATTTTTAATGAATTAGTACAAAAAAGTGACATTCTCGCGCTGCACAGCTAAGTGTTGTCAGTGTACAATGTCAGTGTGAATGCCGTGTCTTTTTTTCAAGGCAAAGAGGAAAGCTCTGTACTGTTACTGGTAAAGATCACCTGGTGTATGCCTGGTATCAATAAATGTCTGATTTTCCTTTTTTATTTATTCACAAAACCGGGGGAGTAAAACTGAAAACTAAATCTTACATTGACTGTTTGATTAAGGTGTTTCAATTACTCAATCAATTCTAGGGAGTTTGAATATAAAATTAGTAACGCCAATTACATGTAATAATAAGGCTTATAAGAAGAAAGAAAAGTGATCATAAAATAATTCTTATTAAACAAACAGATAAGAGAGCATTTCGTAAAGTTGTGTTTATAACATCATCTCCTCATGGTTATCATTATAAAAGAAATAAAAAATCACACGATTCCTACAGAATATTTTTGATGTTATGGTAAGGGTTTTCGGTTTATTAAAATACCACAAAACAGAAATATAAGAACTCGCATACTTTCCAAAAAAATAGAAAATCAGTATACTGTATTGTCAAAATGCTAATTTTACAATGATTACAGAAAATTTTAGAATAATAGCAAAACAAAGAGAGATAAAATACACATGACTATAAATGTGATAGCCACCTCTAATTGAAAGATAAGTGTCATGATAGCAGCAAATGGTGGACTTTTCCAGATGGCAAAAGAATAAGCCTAATCAGAAATTTTATGTATCATATGAACGACAACTTAGTTGTGGCGTATTTTTTATCGTTAGTACCATCTTAATCATAATCACAATCAATACCACCATCATATAATTTCGTCAGAAATATACGTATTTTTGACGAAGATATATTCGAAACAGGTTAATTACATTGTATTGTGAAGATATTCATTCTCATTCATACCTTTTCTACAAATGATTATTAGGATGATGATGATAATGATGATGATGATTATGGTGAACATGGATGGCCAAGGTGTGGTAATTATGATGATGATGAGAATAGTGAGGTTGGTGAGAAAGGAGAGCATAGTGAGGGTGATGGTAATGAGGATGGTCATTATGATGATGGTGATGGTAGTGATGGATATGACGATAATGATTGTGATGATTATGATTATGATGATAGCGGTGTGTATATTGATTTGAGTGGTGATGATAGCATGTTAATTTTGTCATAACGAAATTATTTTGTACACATTTTTTTTTTATTCTCCTAAGTTAGCTTTTGATATGTCAGTGATATGCGTAATGTCTTTCATTTTATATTCCTTTCCTCACTCTTGCATCAGTATGAACACGTAACCATCACTGTTCGATAAGTAGTACGAGAACGCATCGGATTCGCGAACGCAGCCAAACGTCAACAATTGTGGGGGGAACATTTTTCTTGTGACTGAGGGTGCTTGAAGATGTTCAAGTGTTGATAACGTTGCTTGCACTTCTGTGATAGCATGGTAGATGTGAAGTCAATACTCACTCATTCTCATTCTCATTCTCTCTCTCTCTCTCTCTCTCTCTCTCTCTCTCTCTCTCTCTCTCTCTCTCTCTCTCTCTCTCTCTCTCTCTCTCTCTCTCTCTCTCTCTCTCTCTCTCTCTCTCTCTCTCTCTCTCTCTCTCTCTCTCTCTCTTCTCGTTTTAGTGTTTCAGGTTTACAGTGGTCGATAGCCTGAAATAATAGATTTTGTATAGCGTCTTATATCAGTAGTGAAATTCTACCAACTCAAGAAGGGATTTGGCAGAGCTTGCAAGGGGTGGGTGGTGACATGTGGATATACAGAGGATTACTTTTTAATATCATTTTGTTGACCCATGTGGCTTTCTTCCTCATGCTATCCCCTCCCCCTTCTTCCTTCTCCCTTCTCCATACTCTCTCTCCTCTCTCTATCTCCCTCTTCCTCCTAGATCGCCTTTGCCATTCCCCGTCCTCTCTCCTTTCCCAACTCCCCTCTACCCTCCATGTCCTCTTGCCTCCTCCGTCTTTCCTCTCCCTCACTATTCTCTCTCCTCCCCTCCTCCCCTCCCATCCCCATGCTCTCTTCTCTTCCATCTCCCATCTCCCTTCCCCAACCTCCTCTGCCCCTCCTCGTTCTCTCCCCTCCCCCTTCTCCCTCTCACCACACCCATATTTTCTCCTCCCCTGTCCCCTTCTCCTTTCCCATCTCCCACCTTCCCCCCATCGAAGAGGAGCCTAAAACATGAGTAGACAGGCGTGTGCGTAATGAGCTGTGCTATCGACTTTGCCCCCTTCCCAGAAAGTCCACCCTCACCTCCCCTTAACTAACCTTTATAACCCTTCCGTGTCAACAAAACCCAAGTAACACCCCTCCCCCCCAAGAAAAAAAAAACTCCCCAGCAACTCCACCAAATACTCCCCCTTCCCATTGGCTCCTGCCTGCGCTCTTAAGCCCTTATAATATGATATTTGACTAAGGAAAAAAGCCAAATCATTCTCTCTCTATCTATCAATCTATCTCTTTCTGTCTACCAACCTATCTCCCCCATATTCTTTCGCTTCGACTGCTAATTCTTTTTATCTTATTTATTTATTTTCATCATTGCTATCTATATAAATTTTCGTTATAATCACTAATTATATTTTGTAATATAACCATGAATACAAAAATGAGAAGACACTGCATACACAGTCCTGATAAACGATTGTGGTCTACCATAATAATGATATCGATATCAAACTAAAATCTAATGACAATTATCTTAATAATCATAAATGCCATCAGGATAATTAATGTTATATCTTTGTCATCTAAGTCAAATATGGGTGAATTTCTTTCTCTATGTCCATCTGTTTTTTTGTTTTTTTTTACTCATATGAGAATGCTTTAGAAGCTTAGTTCATATATCCTCTTAATTCCTTTGAAAGGCGATTGCGGAGATGGAGGAGTGATTAATGGTGTGGTTTGGCATTCCCCCGCGTTCTAAAATGTGTTTATATGATCATGTTCGACGAAAATGTATATCCTACAAAAAAAAAAAAAAAGGAGTGGAAATCTCGGGTATGAAAACCATAGTTTCAGTTCCGTTCGCCGGCTTGGTAGATGAGTAGATAAATTACTGTGATTGTTCTTTTCTTTTAAATGATATGTTATAGATCGTAATAATGTTATGATCTAGATTTACACTGTAATACTATTATATAATGCTTTGACCATGCATCAAATGTACCACAGCTTGCCCACGCATGTGCAGTTAGTCAAGGTGGTAAATAAAGGACTAAACTGCGAACGCCTTCGTCTTTAGGGGGAAAGTATGATCAATAAATAGCTCAAATTCAATCAGGAAAGTTTAAATAACGTCTTCATTCGTAAATATGTTGCTATTATCAATTCCATTTCGAGTTACTTCTTTTTATATGTTTGTTTAGAGTTATATTCATGTTATGTTGAAAAGCAATTTCTTTCACATGAAATAGTTTCAAATCCTACTCAAAAATCTTTACCAACGTCTAAATTTAGTTTGAATTATACGAAAAAATAAAGTGAAAAAGAGAGAAAGAAATTTACTAGAAATTAAGTCGAAAATTACTGTGAAATGAAATCGCTGAAGTACCTGATAACTAACTCATAATTCTTATGATTTCGTATAATCTACTTTCTGTATTCAAACACGTCGTGTAACCGAAATGATAACAAAATTATTTCTTGATACAGTGTTTTTTACCTGTTTTTGAATGTGTTTATTAAATTCATAAGCTTATGTGAATACGTTTGAGCTACTAATGAAATAACAGATACATTTATTGAGACCAAAATTTCAAAATGATTTAAGTGAATATTATTATTCATCGTTCACTAACACAGTAAGGCCATGTAACTTAAATGATAATAATAATTTTACTATTTTCCTTAGACGAGTATTGAAATAAATCATTCATATAACTAAACATGAAAAAAAAAAAAACTATGATAAAAGGGCATAAGAAAGAAAACATAATTACGACTTGGTGTCTATGCATACGAAGAACTGACGCATTAAAACTAGGTATATGAAACAGTGGTATGAATGATACATCCAACAGATTTGTTAAATTAAATCAAACATATAACAGATTTGCGAATTCATATATTATAAAGAAGAGTATGCGCGTCCAAAGATTTTCTCAGAGCAACTGCGCTTATAGAATCTAATCACTAAAACATCAGTACACAAACATGAACATGTCGTTGACTATGTTACAGTTGAAAGATTAAACTAAATAAAGCATTCAATAAACGAAATTTAGACGCACGTACCTTTAAATGAGAGATTCGATATTTTTATACAATCTTTTTCATCTTAAGTTTCACTGTCGTATAAAAACATGGAGGTTCCCTTATATAAACAACGGTAGGAAAATCAACTTCAGTGGATTTTAATCATTTAATGATTTACAGAGCATATTTTCTTGGAAAATAGATATCCTAGTCTGTAGGCCTTTTGAGATTTCTTAGGGGAAGTAAGGTAAGCTTTTACAGGCCCTTAATAAGAAAGGTGCGAACAGTAAATGACAAAGATATACCGAGATATAGTCTATGACCTCTTAAACACTTACTTTTAGTTTATTGTGCGTGTGGGAGTAGTTTAGAGCGATTGCACATACAAGTGTATATCCATTCTGCTCGTCTTCATTGGGCATTTTCTTTCCATTACATTACAAATTTTATATCTAGCTTCATTCAGAATGTCCGCATTCATTCAGCACCTCTCCTCCCTTTCCCACCTCTCCTCTCCCCAATCCCACCTCTCCTCACCCTCTCATCTCTCTCTCCGCTCCCCACCTCCTCTCCCTCTTACCCAACTATCCTTCGTCCCCTATTCTANCACTACACACAACACACATACCACACACACAACACAAACACACAACTCACACACAACACACACACAAACACAAACACACACACACACAACACAACAAAGCACACACGACACACACACACACACAACACACAAACACACACACACACACCAAACATATTATATATGTATATGTGTTGTGTGTGTGGTGTGTATAACATGCACATATAAACACACAGAGGCAAGGTTCCCACCAGACTGACCTGTATGACGTCACTATATCGATCACTGTACCTGCCCGATTTTCCGCTCAATCTTTCACGCAGTATCTCACACGTGACATTTTG